GGTGGTTACTGGATGCATTCAATGGAGACTCCAGAGAAGTTCTGCCTTAATGGACTGAAGCTTCCCTGGAATGAAAGTTACTCTAGGCCCAACCTAGTAAAGCTTGAATAATAGGCCTTGAAGGTATCAAAATAATCTGCAAATAATTGACTGTCTAAAAACCTAGCACTTTCTAAAAGAAGGCAAAATCCAGACACTGAGCATTAAATGTCCAGCTTCCAATAAAAACCCACTAGATATTCCACAAGGCAGGAAAAGGCAACCCATACCTAAAGAGAAAATCAATAGAAACAGACCCATAAATGTTAGAAATAATGAAACTGGTAGGAAAAAGATGTTAAAACAGCTATTACAACTATGTACAAAAATTTAAAGGAAAATATGAGCTTAATGTAGAGAGAAATGGAGCTATTAAAAAAAAAGAACCAAATGGAACTTCTAGGAACCAAGTGGAAGAAAATATCTGTAATGAAAATTTCACTGGACAGGATTAATAGCAGATTAGATTCTGTAGAAGAAATGATCAGCGAACTTGAAGACATAGCAATAGAATTTATCCAAAATGGAACAGAGAGAGCAAAGTGACAGGAAAAATAAATGAACAGACCCTGAGTTACCTATGGTACAATATCGATGGTCTAACATATGTGTAATTGGAGTTCCCTGAGCAGAAGAGACAAGGAAGATACAGGAGACTATTTGAAGAAACGGCCACACACACAAACGTGTGCACACACACACCAAGGCTTATCATAATCAAATCAGTGATGATAAGAAAATCTTAAAAGCAGTTAGAGAGACAAATTATGTTCAGAGGAACAAAGAATAACCAAAAAGTTCTCATCAGAAACTGTGCAAACCAGAAGAAAATGGGATGACAAATGTCACCTTCTTAGAAAGGCCTTCCCTGACCACCAAACTCTCCCCTCCATCCACTGTATCACACTCTATGTTCTTACCTTGTTTTAATTATTCACTTGCTTGTGGTCTCTCTCCTAGAATGTAAGCTCTAAGAGGGCAGGAGCTAAAACATACCTTGTCTTATTTGCTGTTTGATCCCCAGTGCCGAGAATAGTACCTAGGGTTTGGTAGGTGCTCAGTAAATATTTGATAAATAAAGTTGTCTTTCAAGTAGAAGAGAGAGAGAGAGCAGTAAAGCATCCTAGAGCTACCAATAGTTTAGCTCAATTAGAACCCAAGATGTGCAGCAGTGAGTGCGAGAAAATAAAGCTAGAGTCTGAGACAGACTCTGGTCATAGAGGAATTTGCAGGACATGTTCTGGACGTTGGACTTCCTTCTGTAAGCAGGGATTTTTAGGCAGATGAGTGCTAATATTTTATTTGCCTTTTATAAAAATTACTCTGGTATCCCCTTCTGCCAGGTCAATTAGAGGGGCGAGTTTGAGAGCAGGGAAACTAATGAGGAAGGTATTAAAGTAGTCCAGGTGAAAGATGGTGCAGGCTTGATCTAGACTAGGAGCAACAAGGGATGGGCCAGATCTAGAAATCTCTTTAGAAGGTAGAATGTACAGAGTTGGCGAGCAGCTAGATGTAAAGGAGGAAGGAGAAATGTTGGCTGACTGCTCCTGGCACAAAGTCCCTCACAGGCTACAGTTAACATGTTGTCCAGACTGCAGTCATGTCAAAGCTACTGGGGAAAGATCCCCTCCCCAGCTCACTCACATGGCTGTTGGCTGGGACATCAGTTCCTTGCCATCTCAACCTCTCCATAGGACAGGTTACAACATGGCAGCTGGCTTCCCTCAGAGTGAGCAAATGAGAGAATAAGAGAATGCATCCCAAGACGCAAGCCACAGTCTTTTCATGACCTAATACTGGAAGTGATATGCCATCGTTTCTGCCCTATTTTGTTTGTTAGAAACAAGTCACTAAGTGCAGCCCACACTCAAAGAGAGGGGATTACATAAGGGTATGAATACCAGGAGATGGTATCATTGGGACCATCTTAGAAGCTGCTGACCACAGATAGTGAGTTTGGATATGTTGAATTTGAGGAGTCTGGGACCTCCCAGTTGGGAATACTCTGGATGCAGATGGATGTGTAGTTCTGGGGCTCAGGAGGAAATCCCCTCTCATTGAAATGTAGTTTGGAGCCTTTGCATGAGTTTACAGTTAATGGCTCAGGGCTCTTTTCTCCCCAACTTGCTTTGGAAGCCTCTAGAGGTAAGGGATGAAGGACAGATATCTTTAAATCCCCAGGGCACCCCTCAAGTAGCAACACATAATTGCTGACTGAGTTACTTGGAGGGGTGGAGAGTATCACATAATTGAAAAAGTTCTCTTTCTCCATTTGACATTTCCTACTCTGCCACCAAACTGGAGAGAGGTTTTCCCATTTCTAGGCTGCAGGTTTCTAGTCTGCAAATTGGGTGCTAGACTAAATTAGTAGTTTTTAAAAATATATATATATTTTGCCCCTGGGAACCCCAGGATGTAAGAAAAGGTAAAAGTTGGTATGATCCGGCCTCCCCAGTGGTTCCCCAAAAAGAACCTCATTTTGAAAAACTCTGAACCAAATGAATTCCTGATTTTCCACCAGCTCTGACATTCTGGGATCTTATGATAATAGCAACCCTCCTCCTGGTTCTGTGATTCTGCTTCTTGAGATCCGTTGGTGCTCCACATTTCCTTGAACTTGTGAAAAAATATAAAGATGACTTTCATTAAATACTTACTATGCGTCAGGTACTGTGCAAGACATTTTACATCACATTAACTTTATTTGCTCCTGTCTCCCCGACTAGAGTGTAGTAAGCTCCATAAGGGCAGGGACTTTGTCCAGTCCACTGCTTTATTTCCAGAAGCTAGAATAGTTTCTGGGACATAGGAGGCAGTCAGTATTTTACGAATGAATGAACTAAGGCTAAGGTAAGTACTATTCCTATTCCCATTTTATAGATGAGGAAACTGGGACTTAGAACTATCCAGCTAGTGTGAGAGACCAAGCTGGGATTGAAGCCCAAATCTGGCTCCAAAGCATTCCTGTACAAGACCCAACACATTCAACTACCTGCACCAAAGTTTAGGTTCTGGAAAATATTATGCTACTGCTGTGTGCAGGTCCCTGTGGCTGATGAGGTTTTGCCACTCCCCTTCTCCAGCTTCCCTATAGCTGTGAATGCATAAAACCACTGCGCACTGAGCTGAGAAGAGTCCCCCAGGCTGAGAAAGTACAAGTCCAAACTTCTAATGTAGCGAAAAGTAAGCGTCGATGACTCAGGATGATAAACTGCAGCCCTCCATTCTCTTGTAGCCTCATCAGCATCACGTGTCTCAGGCCAGGTCTGAAGTTAGACTGATGATGTCACCAGAGTCTCTTAAAGGCCTCATCACTCATATCCACTTGTCATATATTATTAAGCGGATCTATAATACATGTAACATTTTCTACTGCATTTCCATTCCTTTCTTCTTATGACCAGGGAAAGAAAAATAGAGTGAGGATGACTTTTCCCAACTTTTCATCCTTATTGCCCTTTACTGAAGAATAACCTCATCTTGAATTACCCCCCCACCCCGAAATGGTCATTCGGGCTCTGATTTCGTTAATAAGGATGAAGCTACAGTTTAATAATTATCATTTAACTAGTGCATATTCTGTATAGACAAGTAAATGGATTTTCCCTCATCTTTTCTTTTTGAGTCCACAGAGGAGGAGATGCAGCTGTATCTTTTTTCTTCACATTAATTTTGGGAACTTTGGGATTATATCACTCACATTAGGAGCTTTCTACCTTATCACCTCCTAGAGACATAATGAGAGTCCTCCCAAGAATCTGGTGTCCTTATAGTCCATCTGAATCCAATTAATACCTGCAGTCTCAAGGGTGAGGAGATGTTATCTCGATAAAGGGTTGTTTCAAGCAGAGGCAATGAGGTGCACAGGGTGGCTTACCCTGATCATGGGGCCTGTGAGGAACTGAAAGATGTCAGAAGACAAAGCCTCACCTGAGGCAGCAGCCTGCCAGATTCAAGAGCAGGCGGCTGGCCAATGATGCTGGACTTAGCCTTGGATGCAGGCTGGCTGCATGGGCGTGTGGGCTGTGCACTCAGGGTCCCACACTCCAAAGGCCTCCACGCTTGGTTTAATGCTGTGTTTCAACGTCATTAAATTGTTAATACTTTTTGAACAACATACCCTGCATTTTCATCTTGCACCGGGTCCCACAAACTATGTAGCCAGTTCTGCTTGGGTGTGAAGTCCAGCTCTGTGATTTACTAGAGAGGCAGTCTCAGGAAATCCACTGGCCTCTCCGAGACTCAGTTTCTGGTTCTGTGAAATGGAGAGCCCGATCCCTACTTCAAATATGCTGTCATGAGGATTAAACGAGATTCTGAATAATTGGTGCATTTTACCATAATTGGTGCCTAGTGGGCGCCTAATAAATATTCCCTTCCTCTTAGGTAGGAGGGTATGTCAGAATTACCCAGGGGATTTGTTACGGAAAATACATTTGCCTGCATTCCACTCGGGAAGTTTCTGGCTCATAGGTGTGGGCTGGGGATGAGCAGTGGTTTTGAAAGGGGTCCTTAAGTGATGCTGATACATACCCGAGGTTAAGAAAGATAGCCTTGGGTTTTGTAGAGATCTAGCTAAGAAGCAACTTAATAGGGGAGAACAGAAGGAGAGGGAGAAATTGATGGACTACTACTGATCCTTAACATAATAAAAAACCTGTTAAAGAAGAAAGAGGTCATCATCTTACCACCGCACTTCAGACGACACCGATGGTGCTGAAGTGAACCATGGGACCTCATCCCGTTACTAAGGCCCCTATAAAATTTTCTGGTGTCCATTTGGCCTGACAAGTACATCCAGAGGAAGAGGGCCTGTGGACGAGAGAAGCCAGGGTCAAGGCCCAGGCTGGGGATGGGGTTGGAATTAATTTTCACCTTGATTCCCCTAATACCATACTCGATTCCTGCAAAGACATTGTAGCTAAAGGGAGTAATTCTGAATCATGTTTATACTGCCCCAGATTTTAGGCTTTGACATTCTTCTCATGAAAAATCTGAAGCCTATACTACTTGAAGTTAATGCAAACCCCAGCATGAGAATCGAACACGAGCAAGAAGTGAGTATTTTGAGTATCTCATTGAATATATTACCATCCAACCGAATGTTCCCACTCTCCTGTTGCTCCCTTGGCTAAGTGAGATTCGACCTTCTCAGATTTGCCCAGCAAAGTTCTGTTCAGGCCTGCGTGATTTCAGTTTTGTTGAGCTCTGAACATCATCTATTAATATAAGATCCACCCGACCTGTGGTAACTTCCCAGCATGTCATTCTCCACTTCTTAAGATCTGCAAATATAGAAGCAGCTGAGCCTTTCCATCAGTTTTGACATGAACTCATTAGTTCGCCTCAGGAGATGAACTAATTGAAATTCTCTGAATATGATTTAGCCATGTCGACATGCTTGAATCACTAAGATAAATAGTACATTTAACAGTGGTTATCTTTTTCTCCCCCGCCCCGTTCCCCCCGCCACTTAAGAATGCATAAAAAAGACTGGAAAGAAATACACCAACTATTAATACTGGGTTTTGTGGGGATTATATGGATTCTTTTGATTTTCTTCCTCTCTGCCATCTTTCCAGTTTTTCTACAACGAGCACGTATCATTTTGATAATGAGAAACACATAGTGCTATTTTTCCCCTTCATGTATTTTGTTGATTTGTAAAAGGAAACTGACATTTTTCAGGTAGAATAAAGGGAGCCTTTAGAGAATTCTAACAGTATAGCCACTGGGGCTTGTGCTGGTGGTCAGTTGATGCTGAATCACTCTCTCCACTGTAACATGGAATCCTTACCCTTCAAGCTCTCTCCAGGGGTGTTTGAGAATGTCCCCAGCCTTGTCGATGAAGAAGTGAAAGTGGCCGTCATCAGAGACACACTGCGTCTCATGGACCCATTTAAGAAGAAAAGAGAGAACCGGTAAGTATTTTTTATATCATTTATTTCTATCATCTCTGCTTCCTGTGTCCGAAGCAGGTAAGTTAAGTTCTTAAAACATGTTAACATTGGGAGTGAGATTTATACCTTAAGCAGTCTAATAAATCATAGTTTCATCTATGAATATCAGCCTCCAGATATAGTGACTCAAAGTCAGGTGATGGAGACCTACAACGTGAATCCGACACTTGGGGTTCAGTGGATGAATTTCTAGCCGACTGTTATCCGAGTCTGGAAAGTCTTCTCTAAAAACCCACTCTCCCCCAGTGATAGCATCTCCCCTCACTCACCATTGCTCACCTGGTGCTTCTCTGTGAAATCCTCAAGCACAGGGAGAGAGTACAGAATGCCAGAGGAGAGGGCCACAGGTAACTTGGACGTGGTAAGGATCGCTTCCTTTTAATTTTCTTCAAGATGTTTACCTTCTTGCAGTATAAGCTTTTTGTTTCAAAACCTGCAGAACCAATTATTGAACTTGTGGCGCTTCTGTAATCTTTACAACAGTTATAATTCTTCTCCATCCTACCCACCCAGTGGATGTTACACTGGGATATTGATGGGAGTATGTGCCCTGCCCCTCCCTCCATGGAATCACCCCTGAAATGAATGACATTTCACTTGGGTGTTTTGTTTGCTTTGTTTTGTTACCAAATTCCTGGCTTTCACAAAGTAAGTGTTGAGTGAATACCATTGTGCCTCTTTTAGGCAGAAAAATCAAAGACAAGCAATCCCAACAGCCCTCCTGGTACCCCCCACATATCAGATTGACTCAAACGCTCCCAGACAAGTAAAGCACTTGTCAGCTATGGTTCAGGAACGTGAGGAACGCTGACTTCCCTAAGCAAGTGGTGTTTTGCAGGTTCCTCTACTGCAGCCCCCCACCAGCTGGGCTCAAGCCCACATATTGTTCGAATCACCCTGCAGTAGCGCTTCTCCCCTTGGCCGCACATTAGAACCATCTGGATAGCTTTCATAAATACCAGTGCAAGCACCCACACATCTAGAGGTGCTTTTAATTAGCCTGGGCTGGAGGCCTGGCCACAGAAATAGTTTAGGTTCCCTAGGTGATTCTATCATGCGGCCAAGGTTGAGAGCCACTGCCCTACAGGAAATGTCACTCAGAAGGAGCACTTGGCATATTCTGAGTCAGGCTGGATGGTGCCTGCTCGACTGAGTTCTCTTCCAGCGCCTTCTTTGCTGTGTGATGCACAGATCCATTGCCAGCAAGACTCGCTGAGAACGCTCACCTGTGATTCACGTGGGCCGATCCTGCCTCCACCGACTAGGGCTTCAAAGTGGTGGCATGTCAGGTCTGCAGAATCCTCAGAGCAGCTCATGGCAGCTGGGTAATGGGTCTACTCATACACGCATGCAGCTGCTATTTTTAGCCATCCCTAAGGAAAAGCAGTGGATTAATTGCAGTTTGGTCAGATTCATTGTGATATAACTCATTTCTCAAAAATCTACTCTCTAATGGTTATTGATCTCACCAGTAGAGGTTAGGTCTGGAGAGACCGTATTGCACTGCGGGGAGATTTGGGTGGCTATCCACGCCAGTGTGGCCCAGGGGGATACTTTTAAAGATGACCGTGACACATTAGCCTTCTGATTCCTTTGGTGGGAGCAAGTTCAAAGGCCATTGTGTGGCCTGAGCTTTCTTAACCTCTGCCACCAAAACCAGGAAGAGAGCTAAGGGTACTACTGTATTTTTCACATTAGATGGCCTCAACACATGATTAGCTTTCTTTATCTGGTTCTAGTTGTTTTTCTTCACCAACACCTGGCATTCGGTATGATCCATATGAGCTGCAGATCTAAAATTTAAAAGCAATTTAAATGGGCCCAGGACCATTGGGAAGGATGGGAAAGGCATTTTATGACTTACCAAGTCATAAGTAGCAGCACCTCATTTTTAATTTAAAAAGCATCGACTTTTTTTGTTTTTTATTTGTAATCAGGAGCAGTTAGAGCTTCAAGAACCTGACTTCAATTTTAGTAGAAAAATGCTTCCACCTCACCCTTTCCTTACCTACAATAGGAGGGTGTATGTTAGTAGCTAAATGTCATTTACTGATATTTTTCCTTAATTATACCATTTTTTTTTTTAAAAAAAAAACAGCAATGATTGTCCATGAAAGAATTCTGTAATCTGTAAAGTGAATTTTTATGTAAAGAATTATTATTATCATTTTAATAACTTTACCATACAGACAAAAAGGCTGAAATTCTTCTCAAATCTTTTATGTAGAAATGTTTCAGTATAACTTGGAGAAGTACCATATTTGTGCCCACAGGTAATGCACAGTGTTGTAGTACTGAATTGTGTGTTCCAGTCTGGGTCCAGGTCACGCCAACTGCAGGAAGTGATGTCACAGGGACTTCTAGGCTGGCAGTTAACTTTAGAAGCTGGAGTTTCTTGTGTTTGAATAGGATCCAACGTAAACAGTTAAAAGCAAATGGTATCCTAGCCTTCCCCTTCAACTCCTTAGCAAAAGAGGGTCTGATGTGTCCTTCATCAGTTCTTTCCTGAGTACGCTTTGTCAGCAAGACTGTTGAAGTGGGCTTTCACTTTTCCTGCACAGACTAAAGAAAAAAGGTCGATAGATGTCCTGAACTCCTCATATCTCTAAACCACTCGGGGAAGGTGCAGAGGCGGGCCTTGGAACGGCACCAGACACGTGTGTCGGTGCGTCATGCGTCTTCACACATCCTGGAAGGGCAGGTAGGCTGGGGTCAGTTCCTTGGTGGGACTGAAAGCAGTCCTCATGCCTTCCATGGGGAGAGGAACTCGCAACCCTGCTGAGACCCATCTTGCCATAGTTGATAGAACTTTCTCTTGAGCTGAAGAGACTGAGATTCAAATCCTGACCTTGCGGACGTACAGAGCTATTCTGAGCCCCAGTATCCTTTTCTATAAAATGGAAATAATGACATTTAAATGAAACAATGTGAAAGACTTCTACTATATAGTAGGGACTTAATAACGCTTGGTTTACTGCTCAACAATAAAATTATCTACTAGAATCTGAACAAACAAAAGGTAATGCTTGGTTACCATGATCTTTTCTGGTATACTTAAAGCAGACTTTTGAGTTTAAAACCAATGACATATCCTAAAACCAAAGCTGTTAGATCACTGTGGACTAGACTTGACAGTGGAGCTGGCTGCCAGTGGAAAGTGCTGTTTCCAAGTAGCATGATGTCACTGGCCCAGGCAAATTTATTTGTTGGGTTAAGAGAAAATACATTTGGCCCCTGAAGGAATAGAATAGCTGTCATATGAGAGCTGTTTTGAACTATGATGACTTTTTGTAATATCTGGTGACTATTGATTTACATACTAGGGTTCTTTGGAGGCACTGCAGGGACAGGGGAAGGGGGAGACTAAAAGGGGAGGATTCTAGAACCATCATCTATCTCTACACACACATATGGAGGTGAAATTCCCACAATATAAAATTAGCCATATAAAAGTGGCATCTAGTACATTCATAATGTTGTGCAACCATCACCGCTTTCTAGCTCCAAAATGTTTTGTTACCCCAAAAGGAAACCCTGTATCCATTAAGCAATCATTCCCCGTCCCTACCTCCACCAGCCTACTTTCTGTCTCTGGATTTACATATTCTGGATTCTTCATGTAAATGGAGTTTTTTTGTGTCTGGCTTCTTTCACTTACCATGTTTTTGAGGTTCACCCATGGGGTAGCATGTATCAGTATTTTGTTCCTTTTTATGGCCAACTAATATTCCATTCTATGGATATACCACATTTTATTATCCATTTGTCACTTGATGGACATTTGGGTGGAAGTCATTTCTTTTTCAACCAGAGGGGAGCTGGGATGACCTATGTTACGTTTTGGCATTCTAGAGATTTCCTTTGAGAGGAAAGGATCTTTTCTGCTACAAGAAGTTTCTAAAACCTCTGGTTTAATCCACCCCCCTCATTTTATTGATAGAAGCACAGACTATTAGAATTGGAAAGGACCTTAGAAACCATCATGCCAGTCAGCTCCCTGGTTCAAGAACGTCCCTCGCAAGCATCCCAGGCAGAGGAGAAGCGTGTGTCCTGACAAGGCACTGGACTTGGCATCAGCCAGGTCTGGGTTGAAGTCCTTAATCTCTGATCATTGCACTATGAGCTTGGCCAAGTCGCTTTATTCTCTGATCTCATCTTTGAAATGGGGATCAAGGGATCTCCTTGGCTGGACTGTCACGGGCATCATGTGAAATGACACATATGAGAGACCCTCAGGACATCTGAGAGGATTAGACAAATGCTAGTTTGTCTGCTGAAGCAGCCTATCTGAGTTGTGTACGTAATGATTCGGCCCATCTGAATCGTACAAGACAAAACTAAAATGAAGAAGGTGGGTCATTTGCTGAAGGAGGAAATCAGGGAAGTCAACGGAAAATTTCCTCTATTCTCAAGGTATTCGGGGAGCCCAGGCCTTTCTTTGTAAACACTTCTATCAGCAGCAGAAGTGAATAAATTGCATTCCTCAATTATTTTCAAAACGAGGTGATTACTCACTCCATCAGTTGATTAGTTTTTGGAGGGTCGGGAGCTATTTTACTAGTATTTTGCTCCTCTTCCTGTAGATGTTTTTGATAACCACCTTCCTTTCTCAGGAATCATAACCCTTTAGGACCCAGAGTAATATAAATAAAGCCAGGGACAGGCTTGGAGTAATCTGAGAGGATTTTCTTTTTGGGGGTAGGAGTTTATTAATTTATTTATTTTTGCTGTGTCGGGTCTTCGTTTCTGTGCGAGGGCTTTCTCTAGTTGTGGCAAGCGGGGGCCATTCGTCATCGCTGTGCGCGGGCCTCTCACTATCGCGGCCTCTCTTGTCGCGGAGCACAGGCTCCAGATGCGCAGGCTCAGTAGTTGTGGCTCACGGGCCCAGCCGCTCCGCGGCATGTGGGATCCTCCCAGACCAGGGCTCGAACCCATGTCCCCTGCATTAGCAGGCAGATTCT